AGGCTTCACAAGCTAGGCTATAGGAATCACATGCTGTTCTATGTGCGAGTCTGATGTATTACACCGTCTCTCTGAAATCAACACTTTGCTGTGAAAGCTGCTGAACATCGCAACGGTACTGTTTCGACAAAATATCCAATTGTCTTGCAGAGACAGTTGAGCTCTGAAAGGCCATGACCTTGCTCTCTGCTTTCTAGATGAGGGACCCCGCTACGGTGGGATGGCAAATAGAGTTTGCCAACAGCAGCTGGTGAATGGATAGCAAGACCTGCCAGCATTAGCAATCGCTGGTAAGCCTTTGTAGAGCCTGACAAGCCTTAGTAGTAGCCAGGTTTGTTCGTGAGGGTTGCACAGCCCTGCCAAGACCTAGTAAGGATGACAGGGCACACCGAGGCAAGTCGTTGGTTGTGAGCGCTCGCGAGAACCAATACAGCTATTGCTGAGCGCGTGTGAGCCCTTCTAGGGACTGGTGAGATCTAATGAGCACTGAGTGCTGGCGAGGCCATGTCAATTTACGGCGGGGTAAACGGAGTTCCAAGGTTGGCTCCAAACCAAGCAGCTCGGTAGCAACTGTAGCAAACTCCATGTGCCATCCCCCCGTAGGGGGTCCCACTAAAAATTATTTTTCGCTAGCTAGAGGAACAAATTCAAAGTGCTTGAAAACAAGTTAACGTATTCAATTGCCTTGATTTTTTGAATTTACCCGGGCGTCCTTGAACATGTCTTAACATCTCTGGTGTTGTTCGACAACCGTTCCAATCGTCCCTTTCATTGTTTCTAGACACTCACAACCGGCTAGTTCAAACGGAGCGCCCTCGGAGCTACATGTTTCCGGATATGAGGGATTTTACGCAATAAGCGACCCTATAATGTAGACAATGTAGACCTTAAATAGTAGCTTACTTCTACAGTACCTAGGACACCGAAACAGGGTTCCTCTCTTTTCTGAAACCCCAATACTCGTTTAGCTTGGGTCTTCTGAAGTGGATCCTTCAAGGTCTGGGTTTCCAGCTGTTAGCAGTTTCTTGTTGACGAAGGTGGACCCAAAGGAAAAAATGCATATCTGTATGTATGGGCTTGCACTTTACGGCTGGAGAGCTTTTACGGTTGGGGCTTTCGGGCCCAACCGACATGCAGGGCCTGCTTTTCCGAAGATGGGGCGGGAGCGATCCAAAACAGTTGCGAAATGTTGCATGCCTTGGTTCTAAACCCGGGCGTCTCAAGCCCTGGGCCGCCAAGACGGTTTACGAGTTCTTGCAATTTGGATGCATTGAAAGAAATTATCCTTCAATGCGAAATCAGATTCGACAAGATGTCTTGCAGGGCTTGGGATACTAAGATGTCACAATATTCAACCCTGATAAGATTAGCCAGGCCGAGTCTGACAAACCCGCGTGGTGTGTGCATTCCAAATCACACTGCTTCCAGGAAAGGTCATTTGGGGTTTTGAAAAGAACCGGGGATTTTGCCGCGGGTTTGTTGCACGCTTGCACAAGGCCTCTGGTTTCCTGAAAATCCAAGTTTTCTGGGAGGTTAAAGATGAAGTTTTCTGGCTTTCAGGGGTTACTGTTAGAGTCGAGCACGACGTCTCTGCTGGGCGGCACATTAGTGGGAAGAAGCCTGCCCGGGACAACGGGGAAACAACCTTCTAGGAGGGGTCAAACCCGACTATACATACTTGCGCGCAAACAAAAAAAGGCCGACGAGCGCTGTCGCCTAGGGAAGGGCGCAGCAGGAGCTACTGGTTTAACGATTCGAGGTTTCAAGGGACCCGAGTCATTGAGTCCCAGTCGTCTGATGGTGGTGTTCTGTTTCGCGGCGAAGGACCCAGCTCACACAAATCCACGCGGACGCTGATCCCCAGACCTTACACACCCGAGATTCCTGAAACTAAATCTGGGCCAGGTGCCACGATAGACTTGCCTTCGGCGTAGATCTCGGTCATGAGGGGAGTGAGGCTGTGGTAAGCATCTCGGATGGGAAATAATCTCGGGTCCTGAAATGCTAAGATCACGGATTGAAAGCTTTACTCTAGAAGCCGTCACGAACACATTAATGTTGTGGGGTTTGGGATTCGACGATATCGGAGGCGTGCTGGGTGGCATTTCCTGGTCATCCGACTGCGGTCATCCGTCCAGGCTAACGACTTCCGGAAACCTAAACTCAAAACCCGATGCGTTCGTGAGCCGGTGTGAGATTAACGTGTATATTGAGATCGAAGACCCTAAACCTTCACCCTAAACCGGATGCCTCGTGCCCCAAACCTCGTAGCCAGAAGGGCTACTGTAGCGGATAACAGCCCGAAAAGACTTATGCCCGTGAAAGAATCTAGAGGGATCCTAAATCTTGCTTGGCACGCGCAAGGGTCAATCACAGTAACCGCATAAACCGCATGAAAGGTTGGCCTGTATCTCCTACTTATTCCTATCCCCCTTACATGACCTTGCAACAAGCGTACTATGATACAGACGCTTCAGGCGAATTCTTGCCGCCCAATTGCCCGTGCAACTTACGGCTTATGGGCTATGGTCTGGGCTACGGGTTTCTAGTCTTAGGGGTTGAGGGTTATTGGGGCTTTTAGGCTGCAAGCTTGAATCTTAAGCGCCTACTGCCTTTCTCTTGCATTTTGGGCGGGAGTGCGTTTCGTCTTGCCGGCTTGCTCGCTACAAACGACTGGTCTGGGGCTCACTCATTTAGACAATCGAAAGATTTGGGTGAGGGTTCGCGAGGATACCAACATTGACAATCCAGAAGCTCCTGGCGTTTGCTGCCGCGACTATCCTGCTGACGGTCACTATGAATACGATGACCATATCTGAACCGAAACCGCAAGAC